GGGGTTTCACCATGTTGACCAGGATGGTCTCGATCTCTTGACCTCGTGATCCACCCGCCTCGGCCTCCCAAAGTGTTGGGATTACAGGCTTGAGCCACCACGCCCGGCCTCCATTTTGTTTTGTTTTTTTTGAGACAGTCTTGCTGTCACCCAAGTTGGAGTACAGTGGCATGATCTCAGTTCACTGCAACCCCTGCCTCCCAGGTTCAAGAGATTCTCCTGCCTCAGCCTCCCAAGTAGGTGGAACTGCAGGCGCCCGCCACTGCACCTGGCTAATTTTTGTATTTTTAATAGAGATGGGTTTTCGCCATGTTGGCCAGGCTGGTCTTGAACTCCTGGCCTCAAGTGGTCCACCCACCTCAGCCTCCCAAAGTGCTGGGATGACAGGCATGAGCCACCGCGCCCAGCCTGAAACTCCCTTTAGATGTTTATCCAGTAATGACTGATCCTGCATTTTTCTCGTACTTGTTTGCCCATTTACCATCTGCATTGTTTTTATTCTGTTCTTAGAGAGATTTCCTTAACTTTGTCTTCCAACTCTTTCTTTCTTCTTCTTATTTTTCTAAGACTGGGACTTGCTCTGCTGCCCAGGCTGAAGTGCAGCCTCAACCTCCCAGGCTCAAGTGATCCTCCTGCCTCAGCCTCCCAAGTAGCTAGAGCCACAGATGTGTGTCACCATGCCTGGCTAATTTTTTTATTTTTTAAAGTCAGAGTCTCACCAAGTTGGTCAGGCTGGTCTCAAACTCTTGGCCTCAAGTAATCCACCCATCTCAGCCTCCCAAAATGCTGGGATTACAGGTGGGAGCCACTACGCCCAGCCTCCTGTTTTTGTTTTCTTTTAATTTAAATTTAACTTTTTTAGAGATAAGGTTTTACTGTGTCACCCAGGCTGGAGTGCAGTGGCAGGATCATAGCCCACTGTAGCCTTGAACTCCTGAGCGCAAGCTATCCTCTGCCTCAGCCTCCTGAGTATCCAGATGACATGTGCCACCATGCCTGCTAATTTTTTTTTTTTTTTTTTTAGAGATGCGATCTCACTATGTTGCCTAGGCTACTCCCCAACTCCTGGCCTCAAGCGATCCTCCCACCTTGGCCTCCCAAAGTGTTTGGATTATAGGTGTGAGCCACCGCACCTGGCTCTAGTCTCTGTTTTTAATGTTGGGGGAATTATTTCAGTGTTTGGTCATCTTTGGCCGTTCGTTTGTATTTACAAGTGAAATGCTAAGAAGCCGACAGAGGCACTGCTTTGTGCATGTGGACAGTGCTTCACTGTAGCATGGCTGGGCAGAAGAAAAAGTAGATCTTTTCCCTTGGTATAGTCAGCAGTCTCGAAGAATCTGCCAGTCTTCGCTGGGATGGGTGAGGGGCAGTGAACAAGTCACGGTTATTGTCTGTGGTTATTCTCCATGGTTATTCACTGACTGACTAACCCTCTGTTGAGAGCTAGCAAGGGAAAGGTTGGGGAAACTCAACCATCCAGTAAGCGTAATGTTTTTCGATCCCCTGTTTTTAGCACGGCCCTTCATCTCCACCTCCAGCTGTGTCTGGTTCTGTCTCCAAGTCCAAACCTTGGTTCAACTATTCCAGGAAACCTAGCCGGAACTAACAATACACCCGTGATATCCCAAGATGAGGAAAGGCAGCTGCCTGACCACAAGGGCTGGGGAAGGGAATCAAAAGGTCATAATGCCCCTTTGCCAGACGTTCAGTCACTTCACTCAGATTTAGCCCTGTAGCTGGGTGCAGTGGCTCACACCTGCCAGCGCTTTGGGAGGCTAAGGCAGGTGGATCACGAAGTCAGGAGTTCGAGACCAGCCTGGCCAACATGGCAAAACCCCATCTCTGCCAAAAATACAAAAAAATTAGCCGGGTGTGGTGGCAGTCACCTGTAATCCTAGCTACTCGGGAGGCTGAGGCAGGAGAATCACTGGAACCCAGGAGGTGGAGGGTTGCAATGAGCCGAGATTGCACCACTGCACTCCAGCAGCCTGGGCAACAGAGGGAGGCTCTGTCTAACAAAACAAAACAAAAACAAAGATGTGTGGTGCCTTCATGCCCTGGGCTCTTCTGGGGGTCTCTAGCTTTACTCAGTCTTCTTCCTGCTTCTCATTCTGTACACATTTAGATCTCATTTTTCTCGTTTGCTTTATGTCTTCTTTAATTTTGCTGATGTGTGTCAACTGCATTGCTTCTTCTCCCAATCTATTTGTCTTTTTTTTTTTTTAAAGACAGGGTTTCACCATGTTGGTCAGGCTGGTCTTCGACTCCCAACCTCAGGTGATCCACCCTCCTTTGCCTCCAAAGTGCTTGGATTACAGGCGTGAGCCACCACATCCGGCCAATCTCTTTGTCTTTATAAGTTTGTACCTTTTATTATTTCTTGCCTGTTATTTTAGTATTGTTTCAAGAGGGAACAGAGAGCTGGGCGTGGTGGCTCATGCATGTGATCCCAGCACTTTGGGAGGCTGAGGTGGGTGGATCATTGGAGGTCAGGAGTTCGAGACAGCCTGGCCAACATGCTGACATCCTTCCTCTACTAAAAATACAAAAATTACCTGGGCGTGGTGGTGTGTACCTGTAGTTCCCAGCTACTCAGGAAGCTGAGGCAGGAGAATTGCTTGAACTTGGGAGGTGGAGGTTGCAGTGAGTCGAGATCACACCACTGGACTCCAGCCTAGGGAACAGAGTGAGACTCTGTCTCAGAATAAATAAACAAAAAATAAATAAAAATAAAAATAAAAATTCTTGAGTAAAAATCTTTACCTATCTGCAGTTTAGTAAGAAGTCGTTTTTTGTTGTTTTGGTTTATCCTGGTATTGTTTTGCTATTTTTTGTTTGTTTTAAACCTAAATAATGGTATTGCTGGAAAGAAGCAGAAGGCTGTTTCTCAGAGCACACTGAGAAACAGTAATATAGTTAAGTTCTCAGGCTCTGGTGTCAGACTGTACTGAGTTTGAACCCGTTTCTGCCATTTACTGTTTGTGTGACCATGGCAAGAATGTAAGTCCAGGTCTTCTGAGAAATAGATGCCAAGATGGAATTATTCATGCAAAGACTGTATCAGGGGAAATGTCTGTGTGAGAAGGAATGCCAAGGGAACCAGTGCAAGACTGACCCCAAGAGAAGGAGAGGGGTGGATGCCACTGCTATGTTTGGCAAGGTCTTCAGGGGTACTTGAACTAAAGTCAACCATCAGAGAAGTCCTGGCTCCCCAGGAAAGGCTTGCTCCAAACTATTCCTGCCATACTTAATCACCGGATGGGAGCAGTCTGGGAAGTATGGTCCTGGAACACACACAGCGAAGGATTTCAGAGCCTAGAAGCTGTGACCCTTGCTTATTTATGTCCTTATTTCAAGGACACAGTGGATTTGTGAGCTTTTGTGGTCATTCGGACCCAACCTCCATCCCTGTAGTTGGGAGACGGGCGAGGCACACTCTCATATCCAGTATATCAAGTTACCTTAGCTCTCGCTGTAAAGCAGGGATATGATAGACGACCTCATACGGCTACTGCGAGGGGAAGAATATGCAATGGAAGTGCCCAAGGTAGACAGGATTCTTCTTTCTCCTCTTGCTGTCCTTCTCTTCTTCACTTTTTCTCAGGGGCGGCTATTTTAGGTTCAACACTGATACACCAGAAAATCTTCCTCCAAATTAATAAAACAAATCTGTCTTTTAAAAAGTGTTATTGGGCCGGGAGCGGTGGCTCAAGCCTGTAATCCCAGCACTTTGGGAGGCAGAGGCGGGTGGATCACGAGGTCAAGAGATCGAGACCATCCTGGTCAACACGGTGAAACCCCGTCTCTACTAAAACTACAAAAAAATTAGCTGGGCATGGTGGTGTGTGCCTGTAATCCCAGTTACTCAGGAGGCTGAGGCAGGAGAATTGCCTGAACCCAGGAGGCGGAGGTTGCGGTGAGCCGAGATCGCGCCATTGCACTCCAGCCTGGGTAACAAGAGCGAAACTCCATCTCAAAAAAAAATAAAAAAAATAAAAAGTGTTATTGCAAATGTGTTACATGGACCAGCACCATTAGCATCCCTGGGAACTCGACAGGAGACACATTTCAGGCTCCCCTCCCAGACCTGCTAAATCAGAGTCTCTGGGAGTAGAGGCCAGGAATTTGGTTTCTGTTTGTTTGTTTTTTTCAGACGGAGTTTTGCTCTTGTTGCCCAGGCTGGAGTGCAGTGGCATGATCTCAGCTCACTGCAACTGCCGCCTCTTGGGTTCAAGTGATTCTCCTGCCTCAGCCTCCCAAGTAGCTTGGACTACAGGCATGTGCCACCACACCCAGCTAATTTTTGTATTTTTAGTAGAGATGGGGTTTCACTATGTTGGCCAGGCTGGTCTCGAACTCCTGGCCTCCGGTGACCCACCCGCCTTGGCCTCCCAAAGTGCTGGGATGACAGGCATGAGGAATTTGGTTTTTTGTGTGCCGGGTGACCCTCGTGCACTCTAAGGTTTGAGAAGCTCTGCTCCGAACACAAATCATTCTCATTTCTTCTAGGGAGGAAAAAGGAAGAAAACAGATAAAATCCCTTCAAAAACAGCTAATTAATGTCAAAAAAGAATGGCAATTTGAAGTACAGGTAAGAATTACCTGCGTAACACCAAAAGTGACTGAGCTAACATAGCTATTAAATATATGGACGCTATCTTTCTCAAGCAGAGAAGAGTTACGCGTAAAAGACATTGTTTCTTCTGGCGTTCCTTTACTGTTGAAAATATAGCCAGGTACAGTGGCTCACACCTGTAGTCCCAGCACTGTAGGAGGCCGAGGTGGGTGGATCACCTGAGGTCAGGAGTTTGAGACCAGCCTTGCCAACATGGTGAAACTCCATCTCTACGAAAAATATAAAAATTAGCCGTGTGTGGTCGTGCGTGCCTGTAATCCCCGCTGCCTGGGAGGCTGAGGCAGGAGAATCGCTTGAACCCTGGGAGGTTGCAGTGAGCTGAGATACTGCCATTGCCCTCTAGCCTGGGTGACAGAGTGAGATTCTGTCTCAAAAAAAGGAAAACAAAAAATAAAATATAAAGAGAGCAACCAGAGAGCCGGCCTGGGTTGTACAGGTATGTCTCAAGTACAGAGCCCTGTGAGACCCCCACCCCTGGGGCTCTTAGTTCTCATCCTCATATCCTACCCCACAAACACCACCCACTCCTCCCCCACAGGGGACCTAGTCTCAGGCAGCCTCTTGTATTCTTAAATCCCAGGCGCAAAATTATATTCCTAGAGAAGACACTAAGCACATTATAAACCTTCTTATAAGTGGCAGTTAGGCTTAATCATGGTATTTGTATTCTATTTCTTGGACAAAGTGGATTTGTGAGCTTTTGTGGTCACTAGGACCCAACCTCATATCTAGATTACTTTTACAAGAAAATACATCCCAAGTTTCAAGGAATTGACTTGCAAAACAAGTTGGGGCTACAATCTAAGCAGTTAGAAACAAGCTGTATTAGGATAACTGACAGCTTTTCTTATGAGCAGTCTAGAAAGTTACAGAGGATGGCCGGGCACAGTGGCTCACGTCTGTAATCCCAGCACTTTGGGAGACTGAGGCAGGCAGATCACCTGAGGTCAGGAGTTCCAGACCAGCCTGGCCAACATGGTGAAACTCCGTCTCTACTAAAAACAAAACAAAACAAAACAGAAAAATTAGCCAAGCGTGGTGGCACATGCTTATAATCCCAGCTACTCAGGAGGCTGAGGCAAGAGAATCGCTTGAACCCAGGAGGCGGAGGTTGCAGTGAGCTGAGATCACACCACTGCACTCCAGCCTGGGCAATTCAGCAAGACTCCATCTCAAAAAAAAAAAAGGAGGTGGGGAGAAATGGGGAAGACAGGGGAGAAGGGAAGTGCGTATAGAAAGAATGGAAGGAAAACAGTGAGCCAAAACTAGATCTCTCTTAAAATTCATTTAATCAACATTTATTGAGCCTATAAATTGTGCCAGGCACTGGGCAAGATTTTACAGATGACAAAATAGGCTTAGTGAGGTTAAGTAATTTGCCTGCAATCCTGCAACTTGTAAGAGAATACGAAATACTAAGACATGCTATCAAAGGGCTTACAGCATATTCTGTGCCAGAAATACCCAATCTCTTTGGGATGATTCTGATCTAGCTGGAGCAACTCTCATACAATCAGAATGATTCTGTAGAGTTATACCAAGAAGTTAGTTGACAAAATAACTTGAAGAATTCCATTCTGATTCATCTTAGGGACCTAATGATTCTTTTTTCTTTTTTTTTTTGAGACAGGGTCTCACTCTATTGCCCAGCCTAAAGTGCAATGGCGTGAACATGTCTCACTGCAGCCTCAGCCTCTGGGGCTCAAGGGATTCTACCACTTCAATCTCCCTAGTAGCTGGGATTACAGGTGCATGCCACCAGGCCTAGAGAGTTTTTAAATTTTTTTGCAAGGACAGGTTTCGCCATGTTGCCCAGGCCGGTCTTGAACTTCTGGGTTCAAGTGATCCTTCTGCCTGGATTTCGCAAAGTTTTGGGATTATAGGTGTGAGCCGCCCCACTGGGCTGGGACCTAATGACACTTTAAGTCAAGCTTACCCAACCTGCAACCCACAGGCCGCATGTGGCCCAGGATGGCTTTGATTGGGGCCCAACACAAATTCATAAACTTTGTTAAAACATTAGGAGAGATTGTGTGTGTGTGATTTTTTTTTTTTTTTTTTAGCTCATCAGCTATTGTTGGTGTATTTTATGTGTGGCCCAATGCAATTCTTCTTATTCCAGTGTGGACACCCCTGCCTGTGTCTGCTTTCCTTAATAGAGGATTTTTCCAATTACCGCTTTGTTTTTCCTTCCAGTAGTTACGTAGAATTAATTCCCTAGCTACTTGGGAGGCTGAAGACAGGAGATTGCTTGAGTTTAGGAGTTCAAGATTACAGTGAGCTGCGATGGTGACACTGTACTACAGCCTGGGGGACAGAATAAGACCCCATCTCAAGAAAAGAAAAATGAGGCTGGGTGCAGCATTGGCTCCTGCCTGTAATACTGGCACTTTGGGAGGCTGAGATGGGAGGATCATTTGAGCCCAGGGTTTTGAGGCCAGCCTGGGCAACATAGTGAAACTGTTTCTACAATGATGATAATGATAACAATAATAATAATCATAAACCTCTGTAGGCTGCGGCAGGAGGATTTCTTGAGCCTGAGAGGTCAAAGTTGCAGTGAGCCATGATCATGCTACTGTACTTCAGCCTGAGTGACAGAACAAGACCCTGTCTCCAAAAAAAACAAAAAAGCTGGGTGCAGTGGCTAATGTCTGTAATCTCAGCAATTCAGGAGGCCAAGGTGGGAGGATCCCTTGAAGCCAAGAGTTTGAGACCAGCCTGGGCAACACAGAGAGACCCCCATCTCTAAAAATGTTAAAAAGTTAGCCGGGCATGATGGCATACATCTGTAGTACTAGCTACTTGGGAGGATCAGGTGAGCCCAGAAATTGAAGGTTAGTGAGCTGTGATCAAGCCACTGGACTCCAGTCTGGGTGGCAGAGGGAGATCCTGTCCCTAAAAAAATTTTTTTTTTAATAAAAAAGAAGTAATTCTACCCAACTTACACGGTAAGATGAAAGGTGGTTGGAGGCCAGGCGCGGTGGCTCACGCCTATATTCCCAGCACGTAGGGAGGCCGAGGCAGGTGGATCACCTGAGGTCGGGAGCTTAAGACCAGCCTGACCAACATGGAGAAGCCCCATCTCTACTAAAAATACAAAATTAGCCAGGCATGGTGGCACATGCCTGTAATCCCAGCTACTCAGGAAGCTGAGGCAGGAGAATCGCTTGAAGCCGGGAGGCGGAGGTTGTGGTGAGCTGAGATTGCGCCACTGCACTCCAGCCTGGGCAACAAGAGCACAAAGGAATATAAAAAAAAGAAAAGAAAAGGCAGTTGGCATTTAAAGGAGGGCGAGTCTCTGATTGAAGCCATGCACTTTTGTTGCTAGTTGTGTGTCTGATTGCTACGCTGTCAGGTAACTGACCACCTCTGTGGAGTTACTCTGTTTCTTCTCAAACAGTTCTTTCAAACAAACGTTACCTCCCTGACTAAAACCTTTCCAAGGGTTCCCATGACAGTCGGAATGAATCCCGAATCTCTCAGTCAGGCCTCTGAGGTCCTACGTGGTGCCCTTACCAACCTCCAACCCCCTTGTCCTCCCTTCAGTCCTCACTAGGCTAGAGACTCCAGAGCTTTCTTTCCGTCCCTGGAATGTATCCAGGTCTTGACTGCTTCAGGATTTGGGGATACACGTTTTCTTAACAATTCCCTTAACCCTATTTTTCTTTCTTTCTTCTCTTTTTTCTTTCCCCTCCCTCCCTCCCTTCTCTCTCCTCTCTCTCTTTCTTTCTTGAGACAGAATTTCGCTCTTGTTGCCCAGGCTGGAGTGCAGTGGCGCGATCTCTGCTCACTGCAACCTCTGTCTCCTGGGTTCATGTAATTCTCCTGCCTCAGTCTCCCACGCACCACCCCCCCCCCAGCTAATGTTTGTATTTTTGGTAGAGATGGGGTTTCACCATGTTGACCAGGATGGTCTCAATCTCTTGACCTCGTGATCCACCCGCCTCGGCCTCCCAAAGTGCTGGGATTACAGGTGTGAGCCACCGCGCCTGGCCATTTTGCACAATTTTTAAAAGTTCACACATATTTGTTTGTTTCTTTTTAGCCATCTCTCTTCTATGAGATCATAAGCTCTACAGGAGCAGGGAATGTGTCTATTTAGACCTCCGTTATTTTCTTAGCACCTAGCTCGATGCCTGGTGCTGAATAAATATTTTTCTTAATGAATATTGAGTCCTCACAATTGCCAAGCACTTGGTGACCCGCAAAAAGAGTTTTCACACGTATTCTGAATGAAACGTAATAATCACTCTCTGAGATATTTCAGGCAGGGTAGATTTTTTTGTTTGTTTTATAGAAGGTAAAAAAGTTGGAGACTTTGGCTTGGCCAAGTTCACATAGCTGGAGGCTTGGGTGGGAAGTCAGCTCTTTTGATCATTTTGACCAGTGATCTTTCTCCCACAGTAAGAAATCTGTGTGGGGAATACGGAGTACACCAGTAATGTGCCTGGGAACTAATCTCACAGCCCTGATTCTTAGAACTGCTGTGTTCTCTTTCATCTATACTCTTCATGATTGTTGGCTAAAATTCCCATTGTGTGAAAAATAGTTCCAGTTCCTTGTTGATTTCTATGTACAAAGAGGAACCTGAAGCTGCTGACTGAACCGAATGGAGGTAGAATGTATTTTCAGTTTAGAAACCTGGTCTTTCCACTACAGAGTCAGAATGAATATATTGCTAACCTCAAGGACCAACTGCAAGAGATGAAAGCAAAAACCAATTTGGAGAATCGCTACATGAAAATCAATACTGAGCTGCAGATTGCCCAGACCCAGAAAAAGTGTAACAGAACAGAGGAACTCTTGCTGGAAGAGATCGAGGTAATCCCTGGGACATTAGGAAAGAACCCGGAGATGGCATTTGAGCTCTCACTGCTGATACTGTCTCAGCTAACGAAGGAGGGAGAGGAAGATTTCCCTCCATCTCTCCAACAGCCCCTGCACTTGAGGTTGAAAATAAAAGCCTGAATGAGGATATGCATATTCCATTTCCAATTACTCTGAAAATTGGCTGTACTTTCTCCCCTTATCAAACCACTCACCATTTCTCTAATTATAGGGAGAGGGCAAAACAAGATACTTAGTTATGGCAGGATTTTGCTGCTGTTTATTTCATCTAACTAGTACCTTTCACTCTCAACATCAAAGAGCTGAAGTTCATTCAAACCTAAATTTACAGAGATGAGAAGTCACAGTGAAAAACATCAAAATATCAGGAGGAAGAAAAGGTAGATCTTGAGGGGAAAGCTAAATGACCACACACACGCACGCATGCACACACACGCACGCATGCACACACACGCGCGCACACACACATGCACGCAAAGCCAGACACTAGTCCCAGCTAACTGGAGGTGAGGCAGTGAGACAGGAGGATCCTTGAACCCAGGATTTTGAAGTCAGCCTGGGCAACACAGGAAGACTCCTTTCTCAAAAAAGAAAAAAAAAAAAAAAAAAAAAAAAAAAAAAAAAAAA